AAACTTCTATGCAAAGTTGTAATTTTTAAGATGAATTTCACAGAACCCAATGCCAACAATAAGTTAACTTCTTAAGGGATTGCAATTTAAGCTGCCACCCAATCTTGGTAGTAAGTCATGGACAAATCTCATGAAATACAGAAAAACAATAAAACAAAAAAAACCTGTAGGAATGTTTAAGAAAAGAAATTATCACACTTTGCAATGCCTTTTTACTGTTAGAAAGTTACCTTTCTTAAAACAACAACATATATAAAGTTTATTTAAAGAGTATTCTTTTAGCGCTTTTAAAACCAAAGGATTTCAGAGGTTGCCCTCTGAGGAATGGGAGTTGGAATGAAGTAGGTGAGACTTTCATTTTCTACTTCATACATTTCTATATTTTTGTATTGGTTGCAATGATTGGAAAAGTTAATCATTTTTAATCAAAGGAATCTAATTAGATTCTTTTCCTTTTTATCACAAAACATCATTACTAGTTGCCTTGTTTTATACCTTACAGGGATTCAAAAAGAGAACTTCATTTCTTTCCTATAGTTGTTCACTTTTGTCATGAAAATCCCTGTCCTGGATTGTCCATGCCCTCTAGACCAGAAATTTCCAAGTATGGCAAGAACACCAGACAAGGACTCAGAACCAGCATCAGAATTAAGAATTCACTCTCAATCAACCTATACCCCCTGGCAAGAGGGCTGAATGCACCCATTGATTTTTCAGTATATTCACAGCAAACAAGTAGTTATTTAGAGCAGGTTTTTGTTACTATTTTAAAGTTATAACAGAAAAAATTTCTCCAAAAGGCAAAAGCATTTTGATGTCTGCAAAACTTACTACAAATTATAAATAACAGAAGAGTAACAATTAACTGTCCTATTAAAAAAATAATGGGACCTGGCCAGAGTGGCTCAGTTGGTTAGGCATAGTCCAGTGCACCACAAGGTTTTGGGTAGATCCCTGGTAGGGGGCATGCAGGAGGCAGCAACTGATTGATGTTCTACTCTCACATTGATGTTTCTCTCTCACTCCCTCATCCTTCCCCTTCTCTCTAAAAAAAAAAAAATGTCAATAAAAATTTTTTTAAAAATAATTGGCTTTTTCTTTTTATACTGGTGTGACTTGTATTCTTAGAGTAGTAGAAGAATATACAACAGGAAGAGCCACTAATTTTGCTTGGTTCAAAGTCCCACAGCCCCCTTTTTACTACTAGCTTTGACTTCTACAACCTGACCTCTTCTTTTTTATGAGTAAGAACTTGTGGTAGGAAAGAGAAGACTGTTTAGTCTCTTCCAGCCCTCTGATTTATGACTTTCTCCCTGCTTTGTTTTGTTTTTCCTTCCTCCATTTCCCTATTTCACCTTCAGCCAAAGTGATCTCAAAGAAGACACAATTCTAATTGTACAATTGTTAAATGATGTCATTTTCTACTCAACGTAGTTCAATAGTTTCACAGAAATTTTCAAAATCTTACCAACTTTAAGATCTGGCCCCCGCCGAAACCGGTTTGGCTCAGTGGATAGAGCGTCGGCCTGCGGACTGAAGGGTCCCAGGTTTGATTCCGGTCAAGGGCATGTACCTGGGTTGCGGGCACATCCCCAGTAGGAGATGTGCAGGAGGCAGCTGATTGATGTTTCTCTCTCATCGATGTTTCTAACTCTCTATCTCTCTCCCTTCCTCTCTGTGAAAAAATCAATAAAATATATTTTTTTAAAAAAATTAAAAAAAAAAAAAGATCTGGCCCTACCTTGCCTCTCCAAATTTTTCACTTACACAATAGGCATTATTCAAACTCCTTTCCATCTGACTGAAACACTCCTTCATTCCTCCTGCCCCTTTCCCTTTTTGGTCTGGAATACTCTTAAGTATCTTGCCAACTCTGTTTAGATGTCACTTCCCCAAGAAAGGCTGTCCAATCTTCTCAAATCCAGATTAGGAGCTATATCCTTGTGACATACAGGGAGGGTGGGGAGGAGTAGTTCCTCCAATACCTATTAAGGATTGGGAACATGAGATTATCAAAAATATGTGTTAAAGAATGAAAAAGGCAGGAGACAAAAAATAGGAGTCTATGGAAGTCAGACAGTCATAAAATAGTAAGATTTAGCCATTAAATTCAGGAATAGGCTCATGACAATGGAAAAGAATGAATGAATGGGACACAATAAATATGAATTCTGAGTTGATGTAATTTGATATACTATATAATTAGGAGATTCATCTAGCTCAGTAGTTTTCTAATTGTGCCTGACCCTCAAAATCATCCAGAAATCAGAAATTTTTTTTAAGTGTTCTAATTTCCTCTGGTCATAGCCACTGACTGATGTTCAGGAATTACCTGGATGTTCTATAAAGGCCACTTCCCAGCACTAATGCTCAATTTAAGATAGCCACAAGATAACCACAAACAAATAGTTGATAAGCAACTGAAGGTACAAGCAGAAAGGATGTATTACACCAGATTTTTAAGCTAACTGACCTAGAGTCCCAATTTACACATAACAGGCAACCAATAAATACTTGTTTATTAAATGAAAATAGGGGAGCCTGACCAGCATGGTTCAGTGGTTGAGCCAGTCAGGGCTCATGCCCAGGTTGTGGGTTCAATCCCCAGTGTGGGGCGTGCAGGAGGCAGCTGATCAATGATTTCCTCTCATCATTGATGTTTCTATTTCTCTCTCCCTCTCCCTTCCTCTTTGAAATCAATAAAAATATTTTTTTAAAAAAAATAAAATGAAATAGGGATCAAGAGGAGGGAGAACGTTTTTATGAGAAAGGGTAGACTGGATGTTGGATATGAGTTTTTCAACTGACATTACTACCATTTGTCCTTCAGGGCTATGTCAACATAATGTTCTACT